AGGCTTTTATGGAGCCTCTACAAGCCCCACATGTATTTGTTAGCAGTGGTAGCAAAACAAGAGTTGTAGATCTTTGTTCAGCTCCACTTCTACAGTATAAAAACTTGTTTTTACGAGATAGCCATGAGTATGTGGAGACTTCTGTACACATGCAGTACCTTTTGAGGATTGTTTTACATGGTTTGGGTAGACCCTTTTATTTTGATGTAAGGGAATTCCCGATTACAAAATCATGTACTTTTGAAGTTCTCCAATTTTGGGGAGATGGCAGCATCCATCCAGGTCTATGAAGAACATGACCTGCTTTCAAAGAGCGCTGACCTTAACATTATCCAGCATCTTATGGATTAAGTACAACCCTGATTGGAAGCCAGGCCTCATCACCCAACATCAGTGGTTAACTTTATTATGCTCTTGTAACTGGATGGGGACAAATCCCTGCAACCAGAGGAGTGGAGGCTGCACTTTAATGCTCACATCTGTGTAGGTACTCAGTCGTCCAGGTCATGGTAAACAACCTGAGACTCACAAGGTATGAATGGTGGTAAAACGGCCTGGAAAGGGATCTTAGGACTGCATAACAAGTGGGTGGTAAGTGGTGTGGTAGATCTCCACCTCAGTTTAACCTTGTTTATCAGCACTTTATGAAGTTCTGTGTGGCCAGCCACCCAGCAGACCACATCTTAAGTTATCCCTCCCCAGGCAGCTTTGCCACCATTTACACCTTGGATTATGTGAGTCTGGGTTATTAACAAGCTTTAAGTCATGACATTTGGGAACAAGAATAAAAACATGGGACTCTCCACCAGTCTGTTAGAATTGAGGAAGTTTCCTGGAGGAGTGGTGAAATATCTTAAAGAACCAAAAACAAGTCCTATTGTTTTCTACAGAAGCACTTAGCATTAATGCCCATGGTTTGAACATTACAATAATGGATGTATTGTTTGGGTATCCACATACTCGTGGCCATAAAGAGTAAATGGATCTTGTTTCCACTATAAAATAATTGGTTCACTCAAGTTAATGTTTCCATCGTGTATTGGGGCTTTGAGGGCTCTCGTGATAGCTCATAATTCATAGCATCTCAACCCCAGAGTAATAAACTACATCAATATAAGTAATGAACTGTTTTTGTAAAGTGTTTTGAAGTGAATGCTGTTGTTGTGAATGGATGGACATGTCTGTGTCTGCATTGCTGCACTTTTGTGTGTCCTTGTCTTATGTTGTGTAACTTATGCAATGGGCAGATACAGTACAAGGATTCTGTGGGTCAAGGCACAGCCATCCCAGATCTCCCTGAGATGAAGCGGGTCCGAGAAACCCAGAAGAATATCAGCCTGGTAGAGGAAAAGCAGTGCAGTGACCCTTACCTTGTCTCCTTCCAGTCAATCCCCAAAGCACCCTTCTGCTAGTTTCCTACTTATCTAGAAAACCTTCCTGTTTTTAGTGCTGGTTGTCCCTCCTCCATCCTAACTACGTCATATAAGTCATTCCTTTTTTTTTTTTCTCCCTTTTTTTTTTCACCTGTTTTGGACTTATTTTCTGCAATAACATAATCCCACCTCTCCCCTTTTCCCTCTAATTAGTGTGCATATTCCTGGATCTTTATTTTTCTCTCTTTTTGGCATTTTCTTCCCTCCTAAAGTGAAAACTAATCGAGAGTGTTATCACCTTGTGTGACTTTTTTGTGCTATCTCATTCAAAGTGTCAATACAAAGAAGGAGTGGGACAAGGCACATCAGTATCAGAGACCCCAGAGATGGAGAGAGTTAAACGCAATCAGCATAATATTAGCACGGTACTCCACTGCAGTGACCCAGTATTTTTCTATTCATCCTTTACATTCATTTGCATTCGCCCGTCTTTGCCTACCTCTTTATTTTCCCTCAAACATAACAACTCTCCTGAGCCTTCACCAGCTGTTTCGACCTGTTACGCTTGTCGCATCAAACCCACCATGCAGATTTAACACCAGTAAGCCGTGTGGGTTCAGCTAAACTCCACCGTGTCTCTAACACAACCTGCTTCTTCATTTCTCAGGAACAAAAAAAAAAAAAAAAGTGTGTTTCGTTCCATGTTTCATGTCTGCTGTGATTTTTTTTTTGGTCTCTTTCTGTCGTACTGTTATTGTCTTATTACTGATCTGCTCTTTGCTTCTTCCTCCATTTTCTCTTCATGGAAACCCAACATTTTTCTTGGGTAGATAAAATACAAGGACTCTCTGGGTCGAGGCACGGCTATACCGGATCTCCCCGAGGTGCAGCGGGTCAAACAAACCCAGAAGCACATCAGCTCGGTAGTGGAACAAACGTGAACCACGTGTGCTTCCCTAACTGTTGAGAGTGAACAGTAGTGACCATCAATAATGCCCATCCTGAGCCCCTCTGCTACCTCCTCTTCCTCTTTCTATCATCTCATCACCTCTTGCTCAACTCATCCATCTCCACTGAAGACTGCAGTTTTCTGAGCTCCATCCCTGCCTTAATTTCCATCCATGCTTTTTTTCTCTCTTTTTACTTTTTCAAACCATCTTTAATCCTCAACCATCAGTCCCTCCAGCTGAGTGAAACCTTCCTCTTTGGCTGACAGTATTTTCTAACCCACAGACCAGCTTCCTTCACATAAAGCTGCTGCTAAGTTAACGTCCACTTCACAGCAAATGACAAGCTAAATCTCCTGCTGAAGCGGGAGGAGTGTTTGTTCCTTCAACAGAGATGCTGGCTGTTGAACACGATGAATCACTCTATAGGACCAGTTTCTCAGACTCTGCTTAGATGTATTCCCAAAAAAAATGTCACCAACTGCAAAAAAAAAAAATTGCTTCTCTGAGAAGTAACTGGTCTCTTTGTATCTTCTGACTAAACGTCAAGAGTCAGGTCTATGAAAGCAGTCCTATAGGTGTGTGGTCTGTGATTGGTTTGAGTGTCTGACTTTGCTTCTGTCCTGTAGGTCTTGTATAAAGACAGTTCAGCCAAGGCCAAGGGAACTCCCGTGGTGTTTACTCCAGAGATGGAGCGAGTCAAAAGGAACCAAGAAAACATTAGCTCGGTACCTTCAGAACCACTACGAGAACATATTCTACCTAAGAAATGTTCTTCGTCTACCCTTTTTTTAACCCTTTTCCTAACTGACTTGTCCCCTGGCTCTAGTTAATCTTATTAATTCTCTTGACTGCGCTCTTTTTTTATATATATATGTGTTTAATACCACCAGCTGTGGTGTGCCTGTGTGCATCATCACTGCTAACCTCTCCCACCCCAACGTCATCCTGTTCCCCTGTCGTTCTCCCACTGAAGGTTGGAACGTAACTTTGTTTCTTTAAATTCTTCAACCCTCTTAATAAAAAAAAAAACCTCCCTGCTAATTCATCCATCTGAAATCCCAGGAATGCCATTAGCTCTCTGTGTCAGCAGCTGTGTGTGTCCTCTTAGCATTGAGTCTCTCTGCCACACCCTTTGTGCTAACAGCTACTGAATGATGCCTTCAGGTTTCAACATTTGAGACGCTCATTGCATGTCCCGTGTTCCTCCACCAGGTGCTGTACTCTGACAGTTTCCGTAAGCAGGTCCAGGGCAAAGCTGCCTTCGTCCTGGACACACCTGAGATGAGGCGCGTCAGGGAGACCCAGCGTATCATTTCTGGAGTAAGACTTAGTGTTTGCTTGTTTCATTTATTTCTACTTTAGGTTAAAAATGTCCTTCATTTATCTACTACTTGGCCACTTAAACAGTCAAGCTGGTGTTCTATAATTTTCTTATTTTTACAAAATCCCACATAATAGTTTAGAGTGTTCCTACACTTTTGCAGGGTTTCAGCTCTGACCCAGTTTCTTCCCACTATTTGATAAAAATAGATCACAAATGCATGTTTTTATTTGTAAAACCTCAGTCATTTTGTAAGCAGCTGTAGGCAACTGATGTTAGAAAACACTATCCAATGAGGAGTACATAGCTCATCTGTTGAGGACCAGTTTCAACTAAGGATTAATGCACATTTGTAGTGTAGCACACTGTATATAGGAATGAGTTAGTGTGGCTATTATTTTTTTTAATAGCTGTACCTGGATCATCCCTGATTTAGCTACACAAACAATATATTTAAGTCGTATCAAATCATTTTAACGGGAATGGTTGACAAGAAGAAAATATAAAGTATCACCAGCCAGTGGAGTGCAGCCTAAAATACTCTACCACTAACAGGATTGTGTACAGACTGGAGTTCTATGTGTTTTTTACACACAAACATAATGTCTTTAAAAGAAAATTTGTTTTAGAATGTGGGTCTTATTTTTATTGTTTCAGGTTGCATTCCTGTCAAATGTAAAAATATTGTACATTTTAAAAGCTTTAACAGCTGAGAAATATCTGTGAAGATTCTCAAGTCGAAGTGTTAAAGTGGAGGCATCTGGACATTTAACCTCTCATTAGAAAGACTTCTGAAAGGCCTTTCCATTGAGAGGCAGTGTTGCAAGTTACCTTTGTTGTAACACTTAGATAACAGCATTTTAGATAACCAGGTTAAATTCCTGACTGCTTGTGTCCAGTATTTTTACAAACTGTGGTTGTGATTCGTGCTCTTCAGGTGAGATACCACGAGGACTTTGAGAAGAGCAAGGGCAGCTTCACTCCCACCACCTCCGACCCGGTGACGGACCGCGTGAAGAAGAACACTCAGGACTTCAGCGACATCAGCTACCGCGGCATCCAGAGGCGTGTGGTGGAGATGGAGAGGAGACGGGCCATAGAGCACGACCAGGAGACCATCACCGGTACAGAGACAGCCGTGCACATGGTTGAGCTTTAACAGTTGTTGATGCGTTGGCAAATAACAATATGAACATGAGAGTGAAAATTATTTTACAAGAATTTTTGATTTGTAAGTACCTGGTCAAAAAAATAAATAAATAAATTTGTGACCACAGCGTTTAAAGGCTTTGTAGGTTAAATTCAGAGAGAAATACCACAGATTTGTAGTGACACAGTAAATATCTCAATTTGTTTGACATGAGCCAACACTGAACTGTTGCATTGTCAGTTACATTGGTCAATATTCCTGTTAATTTCCATTATTTTCTATTTTATACACAGCAGCATGCATACATAGCCCTGTGCTTATATTTTGTACAAAATAAGAATCACAATTTTGTAAACAAACCAAAAGCCTTTTAACTGTCGTCCATCCTGACAAGTCCTTTAGAATTCTGGAAATACGTTCAGCACTGCAGTGAAACTTGAAACAGACTTAGATGAGGTGTTCTCAGTTGGTAATTTCTTGACTTGATCCACTAATTTCCTCTTCGTCCTCAGATCTGCGTGTCTGGCGCACAAACCCCGGCTCTGTGTTCGACTATGATCCTGCTGAAGACAACATCCAGTCCAGGAGTCTGCACATGATGTCAGGTGAGATGAAACTCACTTCACAGATCATAAGCTTTAGTTATGTTCTCAATAAACAAGTATGACTTTAGTTTATTCTCCCCTGATTAGCAAATATGATTGCAGTGATGGATTCATTAAAGGATTAAGGGGTATTGCATCTTCTGTCCAAAACCGGCATTTTGTGACACTACGCACTCTGTACAATTCATAACATGTACTAATTACACTCCATTTTTCAAATTAAACATAACCATAGGTTCTTAAATTAGATTATAGTCCAAAATATTAAAGTTGTACATATCCATATGTAAAACCTTCATGCCATTTCTGTACCTGTGAAAGGTGTATATTGTCTTTAATATCTTTATTTTTAGCCTTATTGTATTTTTGTATTCCTTGCCTTGCGTCCTCCATGCCTCATTTGTATCTAGCTTCTGTAACATGTCTAACATGTTAGCTTAAACCCCATTTAACATTTACAGGCAATACCTAAACATTTAGTTTGATAAGATGTCCCTGGTTTCCAGAATTATTTAGAATATTCATCTGAAAACACACTCTTACAAACTTTCTGAGTTATCTTGATCAGAGCCAAAGAGCCGTGTGGGGAGACTTATAGCAACAGAAAAATAGAAATAGAAAAGAGTTACTTTACTGTCATTGAGCAGTGTATAACAAAATTAAGCAGCAATCCTGTCAATGCATTCACACAATCAGACAACAATTTAAAAGTACCACAAGAAATGTGCAAAAATAAAATCTGAACTTCTAGTAGTATGTGCGAGTGTATCTATGAAAATAGTGGGACAGCTTGTTCTTTAAAAAATAGCTTATCTGGTAGATTAGGACTGCAGAACAGTTGTGTAACTGGTGTTGCACTTGTGGATATTGCATATTGGCTTGCAGTAGTTATGACACTGTCAGCAGCTCATGGATTTTGAAATCTAGAGATCTTGCAGCCAACAGGGCAACAACTACAAATTACCATGCTGCTAAGGCAAGTCAGTGAACTTGTGAAAATGCACAATGACACCCACTAGTACTAACTGTACTTTAAGTCGTTAAAATCCCTTTCTTTTGTACCTGATGCTGTTGTAACAGTCCAAGCTCAGCGTCGCAGCAAGGAGCACTCCCGCTCCACCAGCGCCCTGAGCGGCATGGCTGACGAGAAGTCTGAGGTGTCCCAGGACGCCGACCACCACATGTCCCTCTACAGCAACGGCTTCATGGCCTCCTCTATCGGTAACGATCCACAATCACCACAGCAAACATCAATGAATACAGTACATTGTACTGAGATCCTATATTCCCACTACACACCAATCATGTGCCTCATCTGTGCTTCTTTTGAAGGCTACCAACAAACCAAGACTGTGGAGCTGCAGCAGAGGTCATCATCAGTGGCCACCCAGCAGACCACAGTGTCCTCCATCCCCTCTCACCCCTCCACCACCGGGGTTAGTAACACACTATAGAAGCAAGTACAGGAAGTTTAAAGAGTATCCCAACAGCTCCTGGGTGTTTGCTGCCCTCTAGTGGTTTGACATCTCACCTGCGATGCACCAGTGTTGTGCAGGTTTCCTCCATGACCCTGTTGCATCACTGTGGGACAGGTTTGAAATTTTAAACCAGAGAAGGCAGCAAAACACTTCTTCTCAGCCTGCTGTTAGCGTTTGTTATTTCATGAATGAATTTCCTTCTTAGCAGTACGAGTCAAATAGCTGTCAAGGAAATAGGCTCAGCGATTTGAGGGAAATATCTATGATTTGCGATTTTATATATCAAAGTCAAGCTCCAGTTTATAATTCACTGTTTTATATTTTTAAAACATGGTGCATTGCCACATGAGACACCTTAAAAATATGAACTTTTCTACATTGTAATGCAAGAATGAGCATAGAACAAATACCACAAAAGCTGTGACTGTGTGAAGTTAAATAAATAAAGTAGTAAGTCTCTTCTTAAGACATACTTTGATCAGAGATTTTATTTGAGTTTTATTTTTCTTTTAACTGTCTTTTATTTTACATAACAATGTGTCTTCCTCTTTAACCCTGTTGTGGTTTTATACACCATGTTGGGCTTTTATCTGGCTCTAAATTATGATGATTTAATGATTCGTCTGTTTAATTTTGCTTCTTTGAAAAGAAGTGTGTAGCCTGGATTTTTAAAAGTGCTCTATAAATAATGATGATTATAAATATTATTAGTGATCATAATAAAAAATAAAATAAAACAAAGCCAATCAGAAAATCTTGGAACCTTTTTCTGCAAACAATCCCTGATATTCAATTAGGTTTAACAATCACTTGTGGCTCAGGAGCAGCATCCAGAAAACAAACTGTCGGTTAGACACACTGAACAACATATACCCTAAATTGCATCCTTTATGATTTGCTAATTGCTTTGTTTCAGTTTAAAATTGATTAGGTATTTAGGCCTGCATAGAAAATATCTCATATTGCTGTTTTATCTGAGTGTGGTAGAATCATGTGGCATTGTAAGATTTGCAGGTGTCTGTTATCACCATTCAGGAGCGAGTTTAGTAAAAGGTCAAGTAGTTTGTTATTCTATGGCCTGAACAGAGAAAACAAAAGCTTAAAGAGAAGTTTGTCCTATAAGTCTGATTTATCCAGGTTTCCTCTTTTGGCTTGTTTATGAAACTATTTAAAGGCAGATTGTTTTACCTCCTGAATCAGCAATGACTCAAAGCCTCTCCCTCACCACAGGTTCAGTGCAGCATCAGTGTTTGTGGGTTTTGAACATAACAGAAACACCACCAACGTCAGCCAGCTCTCTGACTCATGCTCCTCTCACACACCGACTCTTCCTTCCCTTTCTTTCTTTCTTTAGAAAACTGTGCGTGCCATGTACGACTACTCTGCCGCCGACAACGACGAGGTGTCCTTCAAAGACGGAGACGTCATCGTCAACGTGCAGTCCATTGACGAGGGCTGGATGTACGGCACCGTGCAGCGCACCGGCAAGACCGGCATGCTGCCAGCCAACTACGTTGAAGCGATTTAAAGACACAGCCCGCCCATCGTCCCTCCGGAGTGGGCGAGACGCATCCACCAGGCAAAATGGATTGGTCTCCCTCTGATCACACCTGTGGCTTTGTGCAATGTTTAGCTTTTAGTTTGTTGTAGCTCTGTATTTAAACTGTGTTGTTTTTCTTGTCGGTAAGTCTATAACCATTCATACTCTGCTGCTCCACCGGTGCCTGTGGATGTGACACAAGCTTCATGACATGACACATATAAATATTTCTGATTATACATAATGTGCCTACTTTGAATGACAGACTGTTTTAGATTGTTCTGAGACACACAAGACTCACTAACGTACAGCCTGGCCCATTATTTTGTACATTTAAAAAAAGTTAATATACATTATTTAATAGAACAGAGTATTTTCTCCTAAACACAAAGGGCCAAGAAGTTCCAGTTCTGCCTTTAATGGAGATTCTATGGAGAGAAAAGAAAGGATGAAACTTATAAGGAGATAGTTACCATCTACCTCCTCTATGATTTAACCACTCCTGAAGAGTTGTATGAGACAAGCCTCAGTCTTCCCTCCTTTATAATGAAGGCTGGCCACTAGTAGAATGTGTGTTTTGTTTCTTCCGATTATTTAGGTCCTGGCTAAGGCGTGTCCTCTACCTTTAATCAGTAGCTAATAAAGCACACCAAGCTCCTGCAGCACTCTGACTCCTTCTTTTCATTCTCAACTTCTGACCGTTTCCCGTTCAGCGGTCTTTACTGTGGAGCTGCTAAATGGGTCTCACACTACACAGAATAACTAATAAAGCAGATCCCTTCAATCAAAGGAAGTTCATTTTAGAGCCTGATAAAAACTAGATTTGTGAGTAAAGTAGGATTTTTGTTTCATATAAGTGAACTAAATACTAAGCAAAAGATGTTGCACATGAAAAACACCTACTTCTCAGCCCTTTCAGGTGGAAAATTCTGTAATGTTTGTCTTTTTTTTGGTGAAGTTTATCATCTCTACATGCTTCAGATGTACAGATTCAGACATCAGACGTTCACAATACTCGTGTATTTGATTTACATAAACTGCTGCTGTCTCACAGACAAATGAAGAGACCAGATTTCTCACTCGCTAATTCTGAATCTCACAGAAATAATATTTACTATGCAGCTATTGGCATCTCAGTGTTTATATTGCTGTTGATTTCTGAAGATATTTCTGTGAACTCGAGCCCAAATTTCCACATATTTGAGACACTGT